TTATTTTGTATAAACTTGTAATTTTTTTAAATATTTATTTTTATTTATTGATTCATTTTTTATTAAATATTTTTATTTTTCACTTTACTTTTAGGGGCTTCGGGGAAATATTAGGGGTCTAAACAGATTCCTAATATTTCACTTTTTCACTTTCACTTTTGCAGCCCGTTATAAATGAACAGGAAGACTCTATACTTAGTGTTCCTGTTCATTCACAAGATGAGGACGTAGTGTGTTGACTATATCCACAATCATGAATGAACAGGAGGTGATGTAAATCACTTCCCATTCATTCATAATTGAGGATATAGTCGACATACCATGTCCTCAATTATTTACAAACACTCAGCGATCACTGACTGCTTGTACCCGCGGCTCTCCTTCCTGACAGCTGTCACAGGAGGCAGAGCGAGAGGAGCTCAGCCTGCTGTGACAGCGCTGGCTGTCTCCGCCCACACATCGGTCTGCCGATCTGTTATAGGAGGCTGAGCGGTGTGGGAGGAGAGATGCCGGCCGCTCACAGAGCTCTCCTCCCGCATCGCTCAGCCGACTGTCGCAGTTTCTCTCCTCCCCGCTGGGACACAGAACAGCGCCCATCTGGGAGGAGAGAATAGGATGCACCGCTGTATCGGCCAGAAAATGGCACTTTCGGCATTATGCCAAAAGTGCCATTTTTGGACAATATGTTTCAGCGGCCGATATATCGGTGCATCCCTAGTATTTATGAATGAAGACTGTAAGATTTACACTCTTCATTCACACATGAGCTCTATCGGCAGTCCTACAACACAGAAAAAAACCCCGACTGTTACTTTCACATAATGTAGCAGTGTTGGGGTCTTTTTGCCCATTACATGAAAACTTTGTGGTTCTGCTTGTGTAGAAGAGGCACGCGGCTCTAATACATATCCTCATTACCTTCTCCTTGCTTATATACATATAATCTTTTACGTTCCAGGCAAACCTTCCACTACTGCAGCGGGAGCTCCTGCACTGTGCCCGTTTGGCAAAGCAAAGCCCAGCACAGTACCTGGCGCAGCACGAACAGTTGCTTCTTGACACTAGCATCAGCAGCTCACCCAGTGACTCTTCTGAGCCCCTCCTACTAGAGGTGAATGAGAATGGCAAGAGGCGGACACCTGACAGGTATAACCATCAGGAAGAAATGTTGGCTGTTCTATAACTATAGTTTGGTGCTATTTTTTATTAAAGATAATATAAATGGACACGGAGAAAAAGCCATAAATGATGGCCGTAAAGGGGCATCTTCCGAAAGAAAAATTCCACACTAACAGAAGAGAAAAATACTGTCTGTAAAATGGTGAGCTAGTAAAATGAATAAAAGCAGCCAGTTATCGCTAAACATATACTGATTCGATTCATAACAGCTGTCCCCCACCCCTGGCTTAAACAATCTCCCCCCCTCCGCAGATCTGTACTTACCAAGATCTGACCGACACTGTTCTGATACTGTTTAAATCCTGCGCTGCTATGCTCCCCCTGCTGGCCACACCTGCACATCACACCCCTATAGACTTCTATGGGACATTCTCCCAGCCAGGAGACAGACAGGGCTAAGAGAGGGAAACCTGCAAAGCACTGGATGTCAACAAACAGCAGCGGCCTTTGGCTCTCGGCGTGTATAGATCTGTGGAGAGTGGGATCATTTAGGTCAGGGAAGAGGGGGAAAAATGGGTTAACTGGCAACTTACTTTCCTAAATTAGCTGGTCTTTCAAAAAATAAAACCAACTTACTTTCTTAAATTGGCTGGTCTTTCAAAGAATAAAGCCTAGCTCTGTGCCCATGCTTAGACACTTCCTGGTAAAATAACTGTTGTGCTAACAGTGTACACATATTTCTATAAGCAAATTTTATCTATCTATCTATCTATCTATCTATCTATCTATCGATCGATCTATCACCTAGTATTCTTAATTGCTGAGTAAACCATTTCTTTTTGGATTTGAGATATATTTGATGGCACTCTGTTTTGACTTGTCCAGTAGAAAACTGACTACACAAATCTTTTTTTTTTTCTTAGGACCAAAGAGAATGCACAGGAAGGTCTCCACCCAGATCACCTTGCCAAGAGGCCATGCACCACAAGCCCCGCACAAAGATACAGTCCCAGTAACGGACTCCTCCACCCACCCACCAACGGACTCCCACACCCCACCCCACCTCCTACTCAACACTACCGCTTGGAGGACATGGTGCTGGCCCATCACTACCGGCATACAGACCCTCGGGAACTGCGAGACCGTCACCGGCAGGCAGGTATGAAAGATGCTTCTGCATATCTAGGAGGTTAGATGGAACAAGAGCCAATGAGGCTGCAAGTCAGGTCTATGGTTGACTGAATGCCAAGTGGAAAACTAGCCAGGCATATATGGATCATACAAATGTCTAGAGGAAGAGTCTTTGTCAGTAGAAACCAGTGACGTGCCGTACCATTGGGTTCCGGGTCAGGCATTCCCCAGCCCCCAATCCCGCCGAAGCCCAGCCCATAAAAGTCCCACCCAACCCGGTACCCAAGCTAGTGTGAAGGAGGGAGGGAGGAGACAGGGAGGCGCCTCCCTGCTCCTCACTGCTGAGGCATCGAGATCGATTTTTTTTCTTGTTTTTTTCTTTTTTTGATTGGACAGCTTGGACCAAAGGTGCTTTGCCATTGGTCCAAGCCACCCACCTCTAACTAAAAGAGTAGAGGCTGTGACAGCTCTTGCCTCACTAGTTAGGTTACACAAGCAGTGGGGGAGCCTGCTGCTGTATAACCTAACTATCTGTCAAAAGCCAGATGCAGCGCCGCCTGTAATTAAGAGACAACGCTCCATCCATGACAGGTTACACAGCAGGGAGGCTTTACCTGCTGTGTAACCTGCTAGAACCCAATCTGAATGGAAAAAAAGCTGTCAGCTTCAGACTTGAAGCTGACAGCTTTTTCCTCCATAATACTAGGCAAGGCTCTGCCTCACCTGCCCCCCCTGACCGCACGTCCCTGGTAGAAACCAATCCCATTTTCCCTTTCACTTTCCTATAATGCATAGGAAACAGAAGAGGGAAAATATAATGTTCTGCTATGTGGGGCAAAACTGTTCCAGACTCCATCTTCCATACACAAAGTCCAGTGTGTGGAGGATTGAAAGCCCAATTTTACTTTAATTTAAATAAACCCAATACTATTCCAGGTGCATCAAAACAAAATCTGTACACAGTCTTACAGTTCATTTTCTAAGCTGCATCCTTGCTTCTTGTATAGAAGCAGTGGTCTCACTGAAGAGGTCAAACATGGCCCTTGCTGAGTCACACCTATAGCTCTGCAATTAGCAAAGCTTAAGCTCCCTGCTAAATTCAGAACTCTAGCTCTGACTGAGTAGGGGTGTGCTGGATCTCTGCAGAGGGAACACTGCTTCCACACAGGGAGCAAGGATTGGGTTTTAAAATATGCCTATTTCTTACTGGATCAGACTTCCGTACATCCAAATGTTTTGAGGAGGTTAAATAATCCAGTGCTTCCTTAAATGTAGGATTTATTTAACCACTTCCTCCTTCTGTCTTGATAATGGCTTCCACTTGGCATTTTTTGTTAAATATTTTCCTCTGGTGTCAGAGTCGCTTTAGGGCAGCATTACCTTAACTATCACGTTTGGGGATAATCTGATTAGCTGTGATGAAGTGATCGCATTGAAGATGACATCTTACCTTACTGCACAACACGGCTTTTAGAACCATGATATAAAAGCATGTGTGTTCTAAGCACAGTTGATGATACCGGATATCCAAGTTATACAAACAGTTCTCTAAGTAATGTAAACTGTTTGCAGCATCCACCATTTTTGCAGAACAGAAGGTTAAAGTGCACCTGTGTTGAGTGAAAATAAATTGTATTAAAGGGATAGTATACATACCATACAAGTTACCTTAAATAGCTGCAAGTAGCATTCAGAATTATGTACGGAGCACCAAACCTGTAATAGACCTAGATGCAGGTACAATCAGCTTTAAAGTGACATTAAACCCTCAGATTTTTTAACATAAAACAATAGTGTAATGTGCGCCTTACTGTAATCCATGGTTGTTTTCCTTCTCTTTGCTGCTCTTCCTTTTAAATCCTCATGTCTTCTCATGCTTGGGGAGAACTTCCCTTTGCAGCTAAGTGCCTCTTCCTGTAGTGCTGGCTCAGGTTGTGAACCTTCACACAGACACCATGTATCCATTCCAGAGACAAGGCAGTCTGCTGCAAAACAGAAGTTCTGCCCAGCATGAGAAGAGATACGGATTTAAAAGGAAGAGCAGCAAAGAGAAGGGAAACTACCATGGATTACAGTAAGGCGCACATTACAGTATTGTTTTATGGTAAAAAATCTGAGGGTTTAATGTCACTTTAAGCTTTTATCAAATCCTGGTTCTGCTTCTATGTTTCTAGTTTTTTAAAGGGTCTTAAAGGAGAACTATGAGGTGAGTGATTTCCACTCATTCTCATAGTTCGAGCCGACGTGTGGCAATGAAACTGTCACACGGCGGCTCAATAGATCGGCAAGTGAGCGAACACATACCGTCACTCGCTCACTTCTCGATCCTGTCCCTGCAGAGAGCTGTGACTGTCACTCGTGGCTCCCTGCAGGGATTCCCCCCCCTCTCCGCGCCGATCCTCCAGCACTGACTGGGGGAACGAACAGGGGAGGGTACAGCTGGTTCTGCCTCTAGATAGGTAGAGCCAGCTGTCAATCACGCAGCTGGGCGGATCTCGACAGTAATGTCGGGATCCGACCCGGGTGCGGCCTCAGTATACCGCGATATACTGAGCTTTGGGTCACTGGAGGACGCTAGTTTATGTCCTCCCGTGACCCCGAGGAGAACTATGGGGAAAAGCACTGACCCCATAGTTCTTCTTTAAACATAAACGTCAGAAAACCGCTAAATATCATCATACACTAGTACTTAAAGAGACCCTGTCAGGTCTGTCAGAAATCAAAGTGCAATTCCCCTGGAATAGAAGAGCTATTATACTGACCTCCGCTACAGCCATGTCTTGTACCTACCTAAGCACTAAGACTCTTTAGATTTTAACCACCTCTATGAGATACCTGTATCAGCTGCTGCATGCAATGGTTCCTTCCTCTAATCCCTACTTCGTTACGGGACTCAGCAGTGATCAGAGGCAGGAACCAGAGTGCGGTTCAAAGGCAACCCAACACTCACTTCCAGAAACGTCATATGCTGAAGAGGTTGACAGAGGCTGTGCATTTGGAACAGAGTGTAAGCAGGAGACACGGGCTGCCAAAGTGATAAATATAATACCTCATCTATTGCAGGGGTTTGCCGGTTTGATTTCTTTAGGGTGCAGACCTTCTCTTCCACCCTCGCCATAAAACTAATTTAATCCCAAAAGCAGAGCCAGCAATGTAGTTCTCCTGTGCATGTATTTGCTAGAAGGCCAACAATGGCAATCTCCATATTTCTTAGTTTCTCTGTATGGGTTGCCTTTAATTGTCACTGAGACTAGGACATCAGTGTTACCAAGTGTATAAAATAGCTAGGGATCCTGTGCTGTAATAAACAGAGGGTGCTGCTATGTGTTTACACATCTGGTGTTGCGGAACAGCCGGAGATCCTGCTAATATTGTCATACAGAGTCTATTTTGGGTGCCTCTCGATGCCAGTCTAGCAGATGCCTGAGAAGCAGTGTGAGCTCAGCAGCAGGCTGTGTAATTCATGTATCATCTGACATGCTGTACCATGGCACCAGTATGGGAAGAGGCTCACACAGGCTGACGTGTGCGGTAACACAACCATGTAATAGAGTGATCACACCACTGCGTTATGTATCCTCGCACACAAAGTTCCTCAGCTCCTGGAATGTACTTTGTCACCAAACAATTTGTGGAAACCTGACCATTACACCTATATGAAATAATCCATTTCAAAACCATGGGCATTAATATCTAGTTCCCACCCAACATTAGCAGCCTTCAATCTTTTGGAAAGCCTCCAAGATTTTGGAGCGCGTCTGTGGAAATTTGTGAGGTCAGGGACGCATGCTGGACGAGAAGACCTAGTTTGCGATCAGCATTAAAATTAAACCTAAAGGTGTTCTGGAGAGTCGAGATCTGGGCTCCAATCAGGCTGCCAAACTCTTCACACCTTTATGGAGCGTTTCTGTGGAAATTTGTGCCAGTTCAGCCAATAAAACCTATGTAAGGTCAGGGACGCATGCTGGACGAGAAGACCTAGTTTGCAATCAGCATTACAATTTATCCTAAGGGTGTTGCGGAGAGTCGAGGCCTGGGGCTACAATCAGGCTACCAAACTCTTCACACCTTTATGGAGAGAAAGAGACCTTCCCCAAACTGCTACCAAAATTGTCTACAATGTCTTTGTATGCTGTAAGATTACCAGCGCACTTCACTAGAAACACCAGAATTGAATCATCTGGAGGGCTGTCTACAGACATTTGGCCATTTCGTGGATGTGATGGTCAGGTGTCCACTTTTGGTCCTATAGTGTAGGAGTTTGTCAAAAGCTTCCATGGTTTTTCCATCTGTATACCCATGTATACCCCACGATGAGGACTCTCCTCCCTGTTATACAACTAAAGATTTTTTTTCCTTTCAGCACAACATGGAGCGGAGTGTGTCTGGTTATAATTATCCTAGATAAACAGCTTGTATTTCCTCTTTCAGCTGTGCATGAGGTCATTGATCACCGGCTGACAGAACGGGAGTGGGCAGAAGAGTGGAAACATCTCAACAATGTGCGTATGCCAAGAAAATTACGGTTCTAAAGATCAACTTAGTGACATTATTATCACTTCTTTTACATAACAATAAAGCTGCTGAGAAATGTTATCTGATTGGCCGGGAGTGGGTTACTGCAGGTCATTGCTGACGGGTATTAAAGTCCTATTGACATCTAAATTGGCCAATTGACTCGCAAGGAATATACTGGAGTCCGGTTTTGGAGATGATAGAATTTACATATTATAAGTCCCTCTCCATTTAAGAAACCGAGACAACATTGTAAATTGGTTATTTTTGGAAATCTAAACAGCTCTGTCATATGAGAAATGGTTTAAAGTTCTTTGGTAAGATTGGAGTGCTTGAAGTGAACCTGTGTTTGGACCACACAGGGCAAAGAGATAGGTTCACTTGAATTCCCCCCTCTCCAGAAGCACATACCTTTCTTTCACCAATGCCGATCAATTTAGCAGCCAGAATATGAGATAGTTATGTATAAGCTCAATGTCAATAGAGTGCACAGGGATATGGACTCATATGGCAGCATTCATTGGCCCAGTGCTGTCACATGCTCCTCCATGCTCCTCCGGTTACTGCCACTGAATGGAGTGGGCAAGTCACAGCTTGGCTTTAAAGAGAATCTGAACTGTGGAAGCTGTGCCAAAAAACAACAGGGATAGGGCAAAGGACTAGTGACCAGTATTTCCATCGGTCTCCCCGATCTTGTGCTGCACTGTGTGAAGTGGGCCATCTTGGCAGAGTCCGGGTTTTACTTCCTCATGTCAGAGCCCCCAGCAAGGAGAACAATGAACGGTACATTAGTGACATCACCAAATCTCACTCCAAATCTAAGACTAGCAGTCAGAGGCAGCAGTGCTTTAGATCTCACGAGTACCTAGGCACGCTCACATATCAGCATGTTCACTGTTATGTTTTAGGGGGATTCAAGACAAAAGTCAAATGGTTCATGGTGTTACTTATTCGCATTTCTAAATGTCCCCTATAAAATAGCAAATCTACACTGTTTGAGTTCAGGTCCACGGTAATGTTAGTGGATGGAAGAGCGGTTCACTGATTCTAAAGCCACAACATCTGATGCCCTCTGCTCCTTTCCGATCGTATATATTACAGTAATATTCACAATGTGTACTTACTAATAATGCATTATGTTTTACTTCTGTAACGTTGGAATAGCAGAGAACAGAAGCCGTGCCATACATGTAGCAAGAGTAATGGAGTTCTTGTAGAGCTCTGTCACCGGTGGTTATGTAGGGAATTCCTTTCTGTTATTAGTATAGCCCGAGACAATGAAGATATTCGCTGAGATTTTGGAAAATGACCACTTTTGCCTTATTTTCTCCACCAGCTGTTAAACTGCATTATGGATATGGTAGAAAAAACCCGCCGATCGCTGACGGTCCTCCGCCGGTGCCAGGAAGCGGACCGAGAAGAGCTGAACCACTGGATACGGCGCTACAGTGATGCGGAGGACCTGAAAAAGAGTGTCAGCACTGTGAGTCAGCCAGTGCGACATCACAACAGCTCCTCAAGCACCGAGTCCTCGCCGGCAGGTCAGTGAACCAAGGGCTGGACATGTGCCTTATGGATAGTGATTAAAAGGGAGCTGCAGGATGCAGACAAGAATGTGCAGCTGTCTGTACACTGCTCATCAACATTTCTCTTTTTACTTTAGAGCCATCCAGGGACTTCCTACATAGGCCTCCAGCTGGATATATGCCTGAGGAGATCTGGAGGAAGGCAGGTGAGTTATATATTCTAGAGGCATCCAACACAAGTGAGAGGGCTCACAGGATCAGGAGCATCCATATTACATTACTAAACGTGTGCCTCAGGTAGAAATAGTGCCGGGGACCCACCGTATAGTGTATATACAAATATCCATCTGTATATATTAACATGCATGAGTTTTTGGGTAGCTGTCCAACACAAAATCTGCTATGTTATCCTGATAGTACCCCATATTATTCTCTCTGTATATTGACCCCGATTAGTCTCACTGCAGTGCAGAAGCAGTTAACAAATGCAATGGGCACTGATTTTGCACAAAAGGCCATTTCTATAATAAATGGTTGGCCGTTTTCTTCACAGACTGCCATCTGATTGGTGTCCCTTAAAGAGGGCCTGTCAGCCATTTCAAATGAAATGTCCTGCCTCAAAGCAAGCACAGTAAGATGCTCGCTAGCACATTTATTAGCCAGAAAAACATTTTTAATGCCCTTTCCTGATTTGGCTTCACATTGTTACTAGCAGCTCGACTTCCCTGATTTAAAAAAAACAAAAAAACAATGAATGCAGATTTTATTAACACACATTAAATGTAAATGCACCTCATGTAAGATCACAAAGCACAAGCTTAATATTGGTCACCTGTTATCACCAGTATAGCAGCACTCAGACTGGGAGAGGGAGGGGCATTACTTGGAGCCAGTCAGGTATGCTGCTGGGCGCATGTGCTGATTGGTTAAGCCATGTTACTATAACTAATCTCATAGAAAGGGTTGTACTGTTAGCAAGTGGTTGAATGTTCATAGAATATAGTTTGTTGTAGATTATATGTGCACCTTTCTCTTTCTGTAGCGTTGTTAACACTCAGTGTTATGGTCCCGTGATAGGCAACCAGTAGATCTCCGTTTAATGTAGAACTACAAACCCCAGCATGCTCTGCCTGCCAAGGCATGCACGGCGTCAGACAGGGTTCTTTCAGGACATGCTGTATCTTTTAGTTCCACGGGATCTTCCGGTTGCCCATCACTGCTTTGCACCGACGTTAGCATAGGTAGGGCATAGACTTAAACTTTTAAACCCCTCCTACACCTGAGTCCCCCCTCCCAGGGCTCATCTTCACCTCTGAGCTGTCTCTCTGCCCGCACAGAGGAGGCGGTGAACGACGTCAAGCGGCAGGCCATGTCCGAACTGCAGAAGGCTGTGTCGGAAGCGGAGCGCAAGGCTCACGACCTCATCACTTCAGAGAGAGCCAAAATGGAGAGAACACTGGCGGAGGCAAAACGACAAGCATCCGAGGACGCCGTCTCTGTCATCAACCAGCAGGAGGACTCAAGTGAGGTAACAGCCATGAGGAGCTGAGCAGGAGGCAAGAGACCCTTTAAAAAATAACCAGCATTTGGGCTTTGTACACATGAGCTTCAGCTTCTGCAGTATAGCTGTGTGCACAGCGAGCTTTTCCAAAGCATTTGCAAAGCTTTTATGGTACGATCCAAAGGAAATTGCGAATAGGCAGGTAAGCCTGTCTGCTCACCATTTTTTTATTTTTACTTTTACGCCCCATCCACACGGGCATTCTGGGATTCCTGTGGCAGGAACCTAGGGATGCCTGCAGCAGGAATCCTAGGTGCCCCGTTCAGATGCGGCCGCTGTACCCATTCAAGTTAATGATAAGGTGACAGCGGCCGCATCTCTCAGGGCTTCAAGAAAGCTGCTCGAAGCTTGTTAATAATGTAAGTAAATGGTCAACTTTATGCCTGTTGTGTGGGTGCATGTTCAAATATTATTTTATTATTTACATTTATATATATATAAAACGCTTTGTAAAAGCTTGCTCCACCCACTACTCTTATACAAGCTAAGCCAGTGTGTACAATAGTGACAGAGTTTTTACAAATGTTGTGTTAGGTTGGGTATATCATTCTAATATGCCGCCAGTTAGCAAAAAAGTGTGCGCAGGTGGCTATGTATGGAGATGATTATTAATGCAGCGTGACACTATGGCTTTGTTTGTGAATTAATGAATTTGCACTTTTAGTTATACATCTTCCTACATTGAATAAAGTGCATGTTACGTGACCGAGCTCTCTCTGAAATACTATTGGCTGGTATCTGCAACGTCTGGCTATAGACTGCAGAGTCTTCTACAGCCTACCCCTTCTCACTTTATGAATCTTTTACAATGTGGCCATACACCTATAGATTATCTGCAGATTTTCTATTTCAGATGGAAAAAGTGCAACAGATTCCTCCATCTACGCTAAACTGGTTGGATGGAGGAATCTCCCACTGGGCCAAGCTTCAGTATCTTGCTAGTTGGCCCCGCTGGCCAACAAAATACCTGAACAATCTGATTGGAGGCAGGCATTGTTCAGGTGTTTTGAGAGCCAGCACGGCCGACTAGCAAGATTACGGAAGCTTGGACCAGGTGGAGATTACTCCATCCACACAGTTTAGCATAGACTGAGGAATCTATTGCACCTTTTCCATCTGACCATAGAAAATCTGCAGATAATTGTAAGGTGTATGGGCACCTTAACACAGACAATGAGCCATATACAGCATGGAAATAATGTTGGCCCAGCAGATTAGGCGTAGAGAGCATTTGTTTCCTGCTTGCATACACTATATGGCCTAAGGTTTGTGGACACCTGACCAGCAAAAGACCATGAGCGTTAATATGGAGTTCCCACCAGTACCTCTTTCCTTGGAGCTAGAACAGCCTCCTTTTTTTCTGAAAAGGCTTTCTACAAGATTTAGGAGCGGATCAGCGGGAATTAGTAACCATTTAGCGAAAAGAGCATTTGTGGGGTCAGGTTCTGAGAGTGAATGAGAAGATCTGGCTTGTCATCAGAGTTCCAGTTAATCCCAAAGGTGTTCAAATCAGGTAGAGGTCAGGGCTCGGTGCAGGCCACTTCAGTTCCTCAACACCAAACTCATCAAGCCATGTTGTTATGGAGGTGGCTTTGTACACAGAGGCACGGTCATACTGGAACAAAAAAGGGCCTTCACAAACACAAGGGTGGAAGGTCAGAATAGTCTAAAAAGTCTTTGTATGCTCTAGTATTAACAGTGCCCTTCATTACAACATTAGAAACACCTAAATTTGCATAATTATTAATTATTGAGGGGTCTCTACAAACATTTGACCATATAGTGTATGTCTGATGGTCAGGTATCCACAAACGTTTGTCCATATAGTGTGTATGTGTATATATAGATTTATATATATATATATATATATATATACAGGGCTCGAAAAATCCACTCGTCTGTGACGAGCAGACAGTGGATCCCGACGAGCAGCTTCCCTG